CTCATATTTTCTGCGCCAATCCCCCAAAGAGCGTCAATCAATCACGATCGGATTATGCAAAAAAAAGAAAAACAAAAACAACAACAGGATTGAGGGAAGGAAAAGCAAACAAAAAGCGGGCTAAAACTAAGTTAGACAAACACCTGTCCCCGTCCAGGTGAGATTGACCCAAATAGACTGACGGAAGCTTTTTTTTTGTTTCTTTTGGGCTGCCCAAATCAAGTTTTCAATTGCAGAAATTGCTGTTCACAGCGAAACGCCTGAATGGCTTTCAGGCTTACTGTTACTATTTCGACGGTGTGTTGCTAGAAAACACACCTTGCCCAGTCACCTGACCACGCCCACTCTGGCGCCCTTCTTCAGGTGGCAAAACCTGAAAAGCGCTCATTAAGCGCCTGGGAAGTTCAGCTAATTTAAACTATTAAAAAAACCAACTATTTGAGGGCCTTAGACGGGTTTTCCTTCTTCTTTTTGGTTGGGAGAGCATCTTGTTTCTTTTTTAGATTTTTGTGGATAATTAAATTATGGAAAAAGTGGGAAGGTATTCATTAAGATTTTAGTGAGACGGAGAAAGGGCGGTGAATATAAAAAGATTATGAAAGGAGATAGTAACAAAAATAATTAAATTATATGATTCTTGATATTTTCTCTTGAGATTGTAATTAAGGTAAGGCTAAGCAAGTTTAACATTTCTATCATTAAAAGGGTAAGAAGGTAAAATATAATCAAAGAATATTTGAAGAGTATACATCAGGAAGTTATAAGCTTTTATCTTATAAAATTTAGAAAGTATTTTAAGCATTCTTTGATATAAATTTGCAAAGCAACTCTAACAAAGATGTTCCTTTAGTTCCAGCCAAAAAAAACTCCCCCCAAATAAGTCAGAAATCAGATTTTCCCGAATCACAAAAAACTTTTACCCCCAACAAGCGTTTCGCTGTGCCTCAGTTAGTTTCCTCAGAAATGGTAACAATCTTACAAAAAGGGTCAAGAAATGTCGCGTTTGTTGCGATTTCCAAAGAAACAAAGGCCTTGAGTCACAGTAAATCTACAAAGCAAAGCGACTTTTGTTTGCCTGGCCAAGTGAAAGTATTTATGGACATGTGGGCGTTGACTTCTTCAACTAACTGCCAATGGGCGTGTCTTATAAGCTTTCTTGAGAACTAACAAACTACATGAATACAACTAAGTGCAAAAAAAGAACAACATCGAGTGAGGGTTTCTTAAAATGAAAATTTCATACGCACTTGTCTCTCAAATGACTGCGACGGCGGTCATAAGGAAAATACTCAAAATATTCATCATCCATTTAGGTTGAGATCTCTTTTTTTTCTTTTATTCAAATTGTTTATTTTTTAGTGGGTTTATCTTTTAACGTTGTGTTAGCTCATTTGGTTATCAGTTTTAACTGCCATTGGCCGCACTGTGCACGTCATTGACTTTAATTTGTTGATTTTAACCGATAAGGTGTGCTGCGTTATCTTTTTCTGATAAGTTTATAAGCTTGAAAGAGTTGCACGATACTGGCTTTGTGTATTAAAAGGCCATTGAGAACAATTAACAGGGAATTGAATTTATTTAGGGTTTATTTTAGGTTTGTAAAAGGTTGATAAACCACTTATAGGATTAGAAGAATGTCATTTATTAGAAGTTTTTACTTTCCATAGAAGTTTTGTCATTATATTTGAGGAGTTTAAAAGTAACTTTTAACTACCAAGTTAAGGTTTTTGGACTTTTTTAAGTTACTTTTATAGAAGTTTTATTAACATTTTTGTTTTTATTTTTGTTAAGCCTTTTAAACATTTATGAAGTTTATTAAACTAAACACTTTAGCACTTTTGTTTAAATATAAAAAAACACGAAAATGATGTTCTTAGTTCTTCAGAATTTAGTAAAAATTTGTATGTTTATAACCCGTTTTCTGCCAATGTTCTTTTATCCAAGGTGTTAGCCTCAAGAACTACTTTAATGACATTCCTTAATGACCTTTAACTATAAAATAAAATCACAAGTGTAAATCAATTTCAAGATCTTCCTAGATTTACGACTTAACAGCACTGTTGGCAGCAAATTTTTGCACCTCCATTAACTTCACTTTTGATTTAGTTTATGAGAAGCTCAGCAAATTGTTAGCTCGTTTTGCCACAGAAAAGGAAATTTCGTTCGAGAAAACGCACTCGCACTCGCGCACTCATCATCGGCAAATTAGACACACTTTCGCAATTGACGACTCCGCCAGCCACACTTCACTTTTCATTACGAATCTCCTCAAGCCGAACAACCAAGTCGGACCAAAGCCGAAACCAAAAACCAAAACCCACAATTGGTTAAAGCCATTGAGCGGATGAGATGGTTAATATTTAGCCAACACGCTGTTGGAAATCGCTCTGATAACGTTGTTAAACGCCTCTCTGCCAGCGAAATCGAAATCAAAATCGAAAACGAAACGAAAACAACAACAACAAAAATCGAAAAGAAAATCGCTGGAAAAGCTACACTCTCGACTGCACTGACCAACTAGCAATGAAATTGTGTAGCCGCAGACGTTCAACATTTATACGGCTGCTCTCCGGATAATTAAGGCTATAAAATCAAACTGATTCGATTTTGATTGATGGCTCTCGACAATGCGAGCAGGAAAGGGCCTATACTGGTTGGAGATGCGGTGTGGCAATGATTCGAACTGCACTTTGAGAGTGCTTTGAAAAAAAGTCGATTACTCTTTCAACTGGCAAACGCAATCAAGAGCTTCAGTTGATTGGCTGGCTATGTCGTTATTGGGCAGCCTTTGAAAAGGTGTTGAAATCAAGGTGTAATGGCCAAAGAAATTATTGGCTAAATATATGAAGAAAGTGTTTAAGAAAGCTATTGAAGTATAAGAAGTCAGGGGACAGGGTTCTAAAATGTATGATGAATCTTCTGGAAAGAAGTTCCCAAAGAGTCGTTTTGTTTATTCAAAATATTAACCAACTTTCTTTGAATTTGAAATGCTAATGACCATATCAGAGAGTCACCATAACATAGTCTTTTGGCTTTCGATCTGCTAATAGGTTAAGCTGATCATGAATATAATTTCGAATTTAAAATTACTAACTTAACACCCTCAAAATACCACCATATCTCTCCTACCATCACTAACCTGCTCTCAACTTGAAGTACATTCAGACCCAACTATGTTTTTCTACCTGCCCCCCCTATACAAATGGGGCTTTAATTTGGCTGAATGCATGGGAAAATGTGGGAAAAGTGCAGCACAAAAGGGCGTGGGCCCCCGTGGAAACCCAAAGAAAAGTCACGTGCAAGAGACGCGAAACACATGTCGAAGATGGATAGATAGGAGGAGGATGATAACGCACGAGAAGAAGACACCACCAACCGAGCTCATCCTTTGATTTCGATTGGGCTATATGCTATGGTATATAGCCAAAGACTGAGCTTGTTATTGCGGCTATTATGATGGTAGTTGAACGTCATTAAGGCGTGACGCTGTAAATTACCAAAGTGTAAACTACAGCACAAAACTATGTACGAAATCTCATAAAGCCGAGCACAGCTCGAATTAAAAACGTTTTCTATTCCGTGGAAAGCGAAATTTATGGCCAAAACCAAAGACGAAATAGAAATACAACAACAACAACAACAAAATCACAATTAAATCTATTTGCACAAATGTTTCACATACGACGCGTTGTCTGGGGCCCCCAAAAAAATATATATATTGGTAAAAACAAAGGCCACACACACTCACACACTCAGACACTTTCACATACTTTTGTTTTCTCAATGGATGCGGCGGAATTTTGTTTATTTTTTGGTTTTTTTCTTTTTTATACCGGAACACAGACTCTCTGGCGATAAATAAATAATCAAATCGGGCCAAAACGAGGACAGAAATTTCCTTACATCCGCACGCGGTTACAGCGAAGTTCGAACTAAAAACCAAAAACCACATTCCAACATTTTAGCCGACTGCCAATATAAAAGCGGCCAGCAAACAGGTTCGAAGCGGGAGAGCCAACCAGCCAAATAATAAACAAAACGAAAAAGCGGGCCAAAAGAGCGAATAAGTTTGGTTTCTGTATGTGTGTGTGTGTGTGTGGGAGAGAGAAATTGAGAGGGGCAAGAGAGCATTTTCTGATGCACTTCAAAGGGTTGCCAGAAAGTTGGAAAAAGGCAAGGAGCAGGAAAAATTAATATAGTTAAAAGTTAAATATTAAAAAGATTAAGAAACACTTTTAAAGGGCGCCAGAAACTTTCCAAAAACCTGCCTTAACTTCTTTCTGATTTATAACTCCCAGATATTATCCTGAAACTTTTTGTATTAATGTATATTTCTAGGTCCCCCAAACTGTGTGCAAGACCAACTTTATGCTAACAGAAACATTTTTCCCACCTAATCCGGCAACTCTCCTGCCTTCTTAGCATTTTCCCATGCAACTTGTTCGCTGCCAACATGTTGCCCGGCGAAACTAAAAACTAAAACTGGCTCAGCATCAACAAATCCGGCGAACAATGAACATTCTCAACTACCTATTAGATGACAACTACCCAAAACCCGAAGCCAAATTGGCGACAGACAAAAAACTTTCGAGCGTTTTTTTTCAGCTGCCAAAATCATTCAAATAAATGCAAGCCAAGGAGAAAAAAAAAAGTGGAATTGTCACAGAGTCTGCCAATTAGCCAAGAAATGCAAGCCAACTGCCAACAAAGAGTTAGAGGCCCCCGCAAAGTGGCTAGGAAAATGCCTCGATTAGGCAGCCGGCCACCTTTAAGGCTAATTGAGGGCCAACAACGGTTAGACTTGGGAAATTATGTGCGGGAAAACCGAGATAAACAATGTGAAAAATAGGTGAAAAGCGCACTGAAAAGACAATTGAAAATCACTTAATGCTGACCGATTTTGAAGGCAAAGATGTCAAGGCTGAGGGTAAGGAGGGGAGGTTAACCACAATACGAAATCCGATTTAAATAAGTTGAAAGCTGAAAAATTTACAGAATCATTTGCAAAAAGATTACAAATTGTTTATTAAACCAACAACATTACGATTTCTGTTTACTCAAGGATTTCCTCCTCTTCACAATCTGTACCACATTGAGGAACCAAGATCTAGAACCTCCATTCTTTAGGTCGATTGCCATTTTTTTTCTGATTCACATCTGATACATCCTTCGACTCATTGGTATTTGGCATTACATTCGGTTTGGGTTTCGGTTTTGTAAGGGGAGGTTTTAGCTTTGATTCTTTCACTGGCTTTTTATCTTTTAAGAGCGGCTTATTTTGTAAAACAGGAATTTGACTCCTAGCATCTGTATTTTCAGACTCTGGTTTATTAACCTCTTCTTCTGGATTGATAAATGATACAGGAATCTCTTCTGTTTCGGGCATTGCTATAAGTTCCTCAGACTCTGGAGCATTTTCAAAAACATTACTGAAAACCCACTCAGAGGTTTTGGGCTCTGGGTATGCATTAATGACACCATTAAGAGCATCTTGCATCTTGACCATATCCCGACTTACAAACTGAACACGTTCTCTCAATGACTGGATCTCCGACATGGGCACCTAATCGGATATGCCATTAGGCTATGGGAAGGATATAACTTTTCATCAACTTACATCATCTTTCATCTTGCGTCTGTAAAAGTGGAATGCCAGGCAGCCGAGACCAAACAAGAAAATCGTTAGAAAGGCTATGTAAGTCCCGGATCGATCCCATACTAAAAATCTCCACACATCATAGGCCTTAAGTATAAGCCAGCAAGCCGACTGCCAGGTATGGCAGTACGGTGATATCTTAATAGAAGTTTTAAAGTCAATATCCTGCTGATAGTCCCACATTTCACGACGGATTTTTGAATATTTTTTTTTTGTAATGATTTCTATCAAGAATTTAGATTTTGTTATAAGGACAAGAAAGCTCTTACTGATTTGAACTGAAACCTATAGCCTTAAGGGCAACACTAGTTTCGCCGATTGCTAGATTCAAAATATTTGAGTTATCAAAGTTTTTAATTACTGAAAAAAGTTTTCCAAGTTCTTGATTACTTTTAAAAGACCATAAATAATTGGTATCTCTAGCATTCCCTTTCCATTTTCAGATACAAATCTTTAAAGTTCTTCCCACAATTTTCCCTTAATTGTTCTCAGTTCTTGAAATGCATTTTTCCCCCCTCAATTTCCCAGCGCAGCTTTGTTGAATGCCAAGTGCAGAGAGACTGGGAAAAACATGTTCCCAGCAGATGAGCAAAAACAAAGGCATTTGCATGACAAATCCAAGTCGGCCAGAGTTGGTAGTTGTTAGTTGGCTGTAAAAGAGGAGAAGCCATGGTGGGAACATCAAGGTCCGGAAAGTTGACAGAGCATCCACAATTTACAGCCTGCGTGGGGTTAACTGATTTGCACACGCCTTAATTGCAGAGGAATTTGATTACTTTTTCAGATTTCTCGCATTGTTTTGCGTCGAAATAAAAGTATAAAGCAGGTTAAGAGAGATTGTCAAAGTTACTAATCAAGGAGTCCCCTTAAAATTGTGATATGTTAAATAATATAGTCATAAAACTTATCGATAAAAACATTGAAACATTGTTTAAACTATCGGAAAAATCGATAAATGAAAAAGAACTTCGTTTTATAACAACAAAAAGCCAAAGCTAATTTGATGACAAGCAATTTCCGGGAATAATTCACTGATTTCATATCAAAGTTAATACCGATACATAATGATACCTTGAAAATATGTCAAAATCGATAGCATCAGCAGACTACGTTTTATTTTGGGTCAATTTTATTTTCGCTACATGACAAAAGTGCCGGCCTAAATTCTGAAGAGTAAACAATTGCCGCAAGTTAAACCTGTTTCTGGACCCTCTCGCTCTTCACTTCCTCCGATCGGTTGAGCGAAAAAAATAAATTCCAACGGCATGACAACCCCAGCGAGTCAGCAAAACTTGTAAGCCAAGCTAAGGAGTTGGCCAAAAAAAGAAGGGAGTGAAGAGAAGGCCCGCATCTTATACCTTCAACCTTTTCACTTGGCTTTACCAAGAAGAGTTCACAAAAGCGGACAAACTACTTTTTACTCGGCCCAAGAAGATGGCAGCAGGAAACGCGGTCTTCGGTTGACAAGCAGAACTGCCAAAGGAAGTTATATAAATACTGGCCAAAGATCCCATTCTCAGCCAAAGTTCTCATTCTATTAACTAAAATCTCTTGCTATTAATCTGATATATTTATTTGACTTTTGTTATGCTTTCAGTTGCAATTAAGTCCCGGCAAAGTGAACAAATTTTATTTTTCGTTGTAACTTTTATGACAGCCCTCAGGCAATAAACATAAATTTCGGTTTCTTTTTTGGGGGCGGGCCGGAAGGAAAGCTCTTGAAAATTACCCAATTGAACATTCGGTTGTACAACCCAATTGGAACCGGCAAAAAGATGGGAAAATGCTGATAACTAATTTCGGCAGACGTAAAATAAGCAATTGAGAAAGGCAACTAATGGGAAATTTGGGAAAATAGCAGCCAACTTATGGCTGAAATTAACAAATTTTGATAAACAGATCTTAGGAAAATGATTTTGTTGAGTGGGAAAATATCAATTGTGTTTAAAAACTATTCCCTTATTTTGTATTTTAAATCATCAATCAGATTATAAAATAAATTAAAAAAATAAATAAATTACAAGCTTAAAGGTGTGAAAAATATTTACAACATTTGTTGGTTTTTTAGAATGTGTGGAATAATATACCAATAGGGTTCTTAAAAAATTAGTTATATTTTTATATACAAATATCAATAAACCAAAACCAAAATGGGTCAACAATGGGGATTATGATAATATGAAGCTCTACATGAAAACCCAAAAACAGAAGTATATTCGAGATGGCTTACTGTCTCATGGATCCCCAACGACGCTGTGATAAGCTATCAGGATTGCTGTAAGAAAAATGTTTATCAATGGGGTAAGCTATATATATCCTTCGGCTTAAGTATCAGGGAACCTATAATTGCTAAAAATTAAGCACCTTTTATTAAAGGTTAGTCAAAAGTATTGAAATTCCGAAAACGACTAAACAAAGGCCTAAATTATTTACCCAATTATTTTTATAAAAATAAATATAAATATTCCTCAAGACACTAGAAATTTAAACATTTTATTTTGAATTTATTATTTTACACTTTTTTGTTTGAATTTATTTAGCTATTTAGCTAGAAAACCAAACTAACCCCTCATCACTGTTCAACTTAAGAGAGTTAAACGGCTCTCTTACGATCAGGTGAATTCTGAATTCACCACGGCTTTAGCAAGTTGTTGAACAAAGGCGGAAATAGTGGGAAAGAGACGAGTGAACACGACTAGAAGGAGAGGCACTGCGATCACTGTGTGATGTGAGAGATTCCGAGACCCGAAGCCAGAGACACGCATGAATCACGGCCCAAAGCGTTTTATGAGCCCAAGACAGAGCATAGAAAAAACTGGTTTCAGACTGTGTATGCATTTTTTTAAAGCCCCAAGATACAGACACACACACACACACACACACACAGTTTGAAACTAACAAACACAGGTTTACATAAAGAAAAGGTTAACTCTTCCAAATACACTTTTTTTTCATACTATATGCTGTCTCGGACAGACAAATTGAGAGTTTTGAATTGATGAAGTCTCTGGGCCTGGTCAGCTTTTTTGTGTTATGTTCATGGCTATTACGTATTCAACGCGATTATGTGTGCCGCCTTATAAATATGCCTGACAAACTAAGGAAATTCGCATTCGCTTCGATTTCCATTTTTGGGAGGTGCCCCGATCAAATATGCCAGATTACCTGGTGGGAGTCCGCCTTAGACTGCGCCTGGCCCAATTGTCCCGCGGCATTATGTTCAGTTCGTCATCACTGCAACAAAGGAATTGAGTTAATAAAGTAGTCAGCACTCCTAACAATAGGTATTTACGAGGTGTTTCAGTGTCAATAAGATCTAGCGATTGGATTGGATCTTAATAAATTGGAATTAGATAGTTGTTAACTTTATGTCATGTTCCTAAGACGAAGCTATGAAGTTATTCTTCTTAACAAAACTTCAAAAGAAAGAATATTCCGATTGACACTTATGAAACGCACTGTACGAAACCTTTGAGAACTTACTCCTGGGGTGTTGATGAGCCGACATGCGGTGCCAAATCGAGTTCAATGCCAGTACTGCCATTTAAGTTGTTATTTCCGTCGTTCGAGTGTCCACTGTGATTGTGCTGTGAGCTGCCATTGCCCACACTGAGATTATTATTATTATTATTATTAATGAGATTGCTGTTGTTGTCGTTGCCGGCATTGGTATTAGAGCTGCGACCATCACGAAGTTGGGTGGGATACTCATTTTCGCCATAGCCCTCAAAGGATTCGCCATCGGAAAGCGATGAACACTGAGATTTGGCAACGCCAGCTGAAGTTTTAAAAGTAAAAACATTAAAAAAATAATTATGAAATGAAATGAAATGCATTTAAGACATACCTGTACTGGAGGGCGGACTGCTGGGGGTGGGACTACTATCACCAGACATTGTCTCACCAAATAGAAAATTATTGGTATTAGCTTTTATGGAAGAATTGCCATTCGGTAACTGAATTCGGGGCATGGGAGCCATTTTGATGATATGAAAACTGCAACTGTAAAAGAAAAAAATAAAAAATTAAACACTTAAGTTAATTTTTGCTAAAAAGAAAAAAACATTTAAATATTCAATTGCCTACAGACATGACAGGCAGGTCAATAGGTCAAAGTGCTAAACCAACTTCGACATGCAATTGCAAAAAGTTTAGCAAAAGGCGAAAAGTAAAACGAGACCATCAATACATTACTTATTGATTGGAAACTCAACGAGCAAAGTTTACGGGTCCCAAAACTACCAAGAGCACTTTGTAAAATGAAAATTGCTTAAGAAAGTCAATAAACCCAAAGGAAAACTAAAAATTTATTAGTTTTATTATCCTTCAAAGGGAAAAGACAGCTAATTGTTAAGTCTCTCTAAAATAAAGTACATTGCATTTCCTTCTTAACCAAAAACCTTATCTAACTATTCAGGAACAACCTTCAACAGGTGCCTGTTTTTCTATTTCCGGCAAAAAGGAAACTGAAAATTATCAGCCCAAAACGTCATTAACTAAATGGGTCGAGGCTTTTTCAGTGGACATTACACTTCCCTTTCTGGTCACTTGCATTGGTCCCCACTTTACCTCCCCCCTCCAATTATCCAAAACTTTGAGGCATGACCAAGGGCCTAAGTACTTTCATAGAAGTCCCACCGATCTAAGCGCGAGTAATTACCTATATTACTTTCTTCTCTTTTTTTTTTAATTGGTCGTAGCTCTGCCTTGCCAACATTTTCGTTTTTCCTAACCAAGTTTCACGCTTTCGTTTCTTTTGGGCATTGTCACATAAAATCGGTGGGTGTTCAAAGGCAGATGGAGAAGGTAGAAGGTAGAGTACAAAAACCTATAAATACTTTTGGGACAATTGTTTGGGTGTTGATGTCTGTCTGATTGATTGATATGTCAGGGCCGTTAGGTGTAGGCAGTAAGCCAGCCGAATTAGGTCAAATTTTTGGTTTTTGGGGATAAGGAAAAACAGTGCAATGACAAGTAAATAGAGAAGTAATAATGTTTAGAAGCAGAAACTAAGCAAATAAAGTTGGAAACTAATTGGTTAATAAACCTTAAATGATTCATCTTCGAAAATGAGTAAGACAAGCTTTACTAAGAATTTAAATGATTAATTTGGCGCAAAAATGTATCCAAAAACAAGAAATTAATCATCCTAATATTTAGTTTAATCGTTTCTATTCATTAATTTTAATATTTTCCATTCAAAAATGGTTATCATCTCTTTATATCTTTCATTCATACAAATTTTCTCTTTCAATAAACCAAATTACATAGCCTCCATCATCGACAAACCCATCAATTTCATAACAAA